TTTAAAATTGTTTAAAATAAAATTAGTATCTAATGAGGAAACCTTAACCAGTGTATTTAGAAACCAACGTACTATCATAAAAAACGGTGTAGGTGGGAAAAATGCAGGGAAAAACTGTAAGTGGGGACGCAGATGTGAGCCGACAACGATTCAGCTATCCCACTCTCGCGTATGTGGTTTTTCATTACGCGAATGAGAAGGAAACCAACTTTTTGTATTAAAAAGTGCTTGTTAATTGCAGTTGTTTGCGTATTCTTTTTTTTACTGTCTCGCGCGCACAAGTGTGTGCTTAGCAAAAATTGTGTTACTGATTTTTTTTTTTAAGTTTCTCTTTTTTCTGCTTTTGGGAAAGATAATTCTTTATTGTTTAATAGCTGGTGCACGCGACTTCGTTCGCGTGGAATTTGAAAAGCGCTACCTTAGTGAGTTCGATTCCGGATCAGGCAAAATTTTATAGGGTTTTTCTGAGAGAAAAAATAGCCTTAGTTACTCCTTATATAGACAGCTACTTGTTAGTAAAATATTATCAAAATCAGATCGGAACATACAGACAGACAGACAAAAAATATTTTAACAGATTTTTAGGCATAGGTATCGTACAAATAATCGTGTAAGCATGAAAATAACCTATTATTTTGACATTGCAAACAGACACCTCAATTTTATTTATTTGTATAGATTGTATTGTCTTTGTTCAGTAACTTAGTCAAATAGGCATTTAGTCTGTATTTCGTTAGATTACTATTTCGTTTGCTTTCGAGAAGGCTGACAGATTGTTCAAATATTATACTAGTTTGTCTACAGCTTCAATACATTTTACCTAGATATCTATGTATGTAACTTCTCAATTATATGTGTATGTGTATTTCAGTATGTATTTATGTATATTTGTCCCACTGTTTATGTCCATCTCCTCAATTAAGTATAATTATTATCTTTTTAAAAACAATACTTAATTTCTAGTGCTGACATTTCCCCATCACCCAAGAGAGCCTGGGAGAAAATGAATGTGGCATTAATTCCGCCATTGCACAAGTGAGTTGTAATTTGTGCATAAAGAATTAAATAATTTTGTTTTTTTTTTTTAAAGACAACTCCTGCACTAGGAATAAATCCTGTGTCGCGGGGGACTTTACAAACATACATGAAACGGACACAAAGTACACCCAGACTCAGAACAACAATTTGTGGATCACACAAAGTGTTATTCCATGTGGGGTTTGAACCCACATCCCTCGGCGTAATAGGAAGCGGCGTGGCGACCGCTTAAAACCACTACGCCATCCGTGCAGTCTATATCTATATAGTCTGCATATGGAAATGGCAAGTTGATTCAAACTCAAAAGATCTTTATTACATAATTTTTTATGTTGATTTTAATAATTAATTTCATGATAGTGTACCATATAGGTACATTGCTTTTTTTTAAAGGTTTTAAATCACTATGAAAATGTTCATTCTTGTTTATAAGACATAATTTCTTTCTTTCTAAAGAAATACTATTTGAAAGAAATTAAAAAAAATTATAGTTTTAAACAACTAAAAAACACGCTTTCTATAGAAAACCAAACTAAAAAATAATAAATAATAATGAAAAAAGCGTTGGGTGCCTGTTGTCAATGGTAAAACGCACCCCACGCTTTTTTTTGGTTTTTTTTAAAACTATATTTTTTTATCCCTTTCAAATAGTATTTCTTTAGAAAGAAAGATTTCTTTTTTCTTTTTTTAATTTGTGTATTGTCATCGGTCCTCGATATATCTACAAAGTTTGAACGAATTCTGACCGTTTAAAGTCAGTCAAAAACTACGCCCAAAGGAGTCGGTTACAAACATACAAACATAGAAGTGAAGCTAATATGCAAGGTGAATATTAGCGAAGGTGCAAGTTTTGTTTGTTAACCTTTTATATCCTCGTTAATTAATAATCGCCTGAAATTTTATTATACTAAGTTTATAGACTTATAAAGTTAATAACTAATATTAAATTTGCACGGATGGTGTAGTGGTTTCAGTGGTCACCTCGCCAATGCCTATTGCGCTGAGTGTTGTGGGTTCGATTCACAATTTGTTGTTCTGAGTCTGGGCGTTCTTTGTGTCGGTTTCTTGTAAAGTCCCCCGCGACAAATTATATGTACCTAGTGCAGGAGTTTTTTTTTAAAGAAAAAAGAAAGAAAAATAATTTACGACGATAAAGTTTATAAAAATACTAGTTTTGGCCCACGGCTCCGCCCACGTGTATGTCGGTTATCGCAGTAAAAAGGAGCCTATGTTACTCACTGATAATGTATCTTTCTATTTTTGAAATAATATTTTCTACTATATAAAAATAAGTCGGGTTTTCCTTCCTGACGCTATAACTCCAGAACGCACGAACCGATTTCCACGGTTTTGCATTCGTTGGAAAGGTCTCGGGCTCCGTGTGGTTTATAGCAAAGAAAATTCAGGAAAAATATCAACAGAAAAGCGGGAAAATCTTTTTTCACATACAGCGCTACAAACCAATATTTTAAGCAGATGGCGCCGGTGCGTGATACATTGTTTGACAGCTACTCATTGTTCTCTGCTCAGTTAATTTCACGTGACAAACCGGTATTGCGTTCACTGTGAAATTGTGAAAAAAAAGTAAAAAAAATAAGTTTTTCGTTTCCTAACATTTAAATTGGAAACCATCAAATCAATCACGTGTATTGTGCAAATTTGATAATCTTTTTTCACATACAGCGCCATCTCTTATACATAGCATGTACTACAACCCAATATTTTAAGTAGATGGCGCCGGTGCGTGATACATTGTTTGACAGCTACTCATTGTTCTCTGCTCAGTTAATTTCAATTTAAAAAAGTAAAAAAAAATAAGTTATTCGTTTCCTAACATTTCAATAGGAAACCATCAAATCAATTACGTGTATTGTGCAAATTTTTATTCAATTTCAACAGCAGGCATTTGTCTTTAAGCTGGTAAGTTGAACTGTGTAAATTATGTGGAACGTGCATTTGAGGTTAAATTCACCACTCTGTCCATAGTCCAAAATGCCTAGAGGACGACGTGCGAACATCGGCCGCCGCACAAGACATGCAAGCCAGCAACAAGTGTATTCACAGAACATAAGCGAAGAAAGACAAAGTATAATAAGAGAAAATGCCCGATTGAGACAACGCGTGAGCACACGAAGATCATTGGCATCATACAATCGCTTGGAATTCCAATATGATCCCACTGCGAACTACAGTGATGATGAAAATTTAGATATTGGACCAATGGCGACTATATGCCGATATTGCAATGCGTTTAAGTTCAAAAGAGAAACGGCTGGATTGTGCTGCGCAAGTGGAAAAGTCAAACTGGATCCATTACTTACACCACACAGCCACTGAAACCATTGTTCGATGGAAGTGATCCCGATTCCCGCTAATAATGCTGTGGTTAACATGTTCAAAACAGCATTGGAAACGAATGCCATCGGATACGCACAAATTTGTCATAAGAGCGGATTGTACCCCAACAGGTGAACATATGCGAAGATTCAATGCACCCACCGTTAACCACCGATTTGATGTTGCTGCAATTATTGTTGGCGATACAACTAAATCGCGAGACATTGTCGTTCAGCGAAGAAGCAATATCATGCATCGTGTAAACGAGACACATCGTTTGTACGATGCGTTACAATATCCAATCATTTATTGGCAAGGGACGGATACGACATCACGTTGAAGATGGTCGATCCAATTACAGGTACAATATTCACACACTAATTATTGCTATTATTGCTATTATTGGTTTCCATTAACAATTCATTTAATTTTGCATTTTCAGGCGTATCAACGAACAAAAATCTAAGCGCAATGAATTTCTATGCGTATCGTATGATGATTCGTACACATGAGGAGAATGTCATTCTGAAGTGCCGTCGGCTATTCCAGCAATTCGCTGTCGACATGTATGTCAAAGTCGAGACCGAACGTTTAGCGTTCATCCGATTCAATCAGGCAAATCTACGATCTGAGGACTATATACACTTGCGTGATGCTATTCATTCAGATGGTGATGTTCAGAATATTGGACGCCTGACGATTCTCCCATCATCTTATATCGGAAGACCACGCCACATGCACGAATACGCTCAAGACGCTATGACGTACGTGCGAAATTATGGAACTCCGGATTTATTTATTACGTTCACATGCAATCCGAAGTGGACAGAAATTGAACGTGAGTTAGACATAATCACCAGAGTATTTCAGCAAAAAACTCAAGGTTATGATGGATGTGCTTACTAAGTATCGAGTTTTTGGTGACACACGTTGTTATATGTACTCGGTGGAATGGCAGAAGCGTGGACTACCGCATGCTCATATCCTAATTTGGTTGCTGAACAAATTACATTCAAATGAAGTGAATGACATCATATCAGCTAAAATTCCTGATCCAGTCACTGATCCCCATCTACACGACATTGTGACGACACAGATGGTGCATGGACCGTGCGGTGCATTAAATCCATTATCGCCTTGCATGGCTGATGGAAAGTGCACAAAACGATATCCGCGACCGTTAGTTGCTGAAACAGTCACAGGGAACGATGGATATCCAGTTTATCGTCGGCGTTCAAAAGAAGATAATGGTCGAACTATCAAAGTTAAAGTTCAAAATCAAGAGATTGAGATCGGAAATGAATTTATTGTACCATATTGCCCGCTGCTATCACGAATTTTCGAAACACATGCAAACGTTGAGAGTTGTCATTCGGCCAAATCAATCAAATATTTGTGCAAGTACGTCCCAAAAGGCTGCGACATGGCTGTGTTTGGTATTGCGTCGGAAAATGCGAATGACGAAATCAGCAACTTCCAAATGGGCAGATACGTCGGTACTAATGAAGCACTGTGGCGATTATTGTCATTTCAAATTCCCAAATATCCCACAGTTGTAACCACTAATATGAGAGTTCAACTTCAAAATGATCAAAGTGCTGCACAATTTTCCAAACAATTGTTAGCTGTTGGAAATGGAAAAGTCCCAGTTGATGCGACATCTGGATTAATTACTCTTACCAACGACTTTTGCCGATTTGTAGACTCTCAATTAGCTCTTAATGAAAATGTTTTTCCCAAACATTAGTGAGAATTATCAGAATTATGCTTGGTTAAGTGAACGAGCAATTCTTGCCGCAAATAATAATGATGTACACGCACTGAATTTCACCATTCAATCAAAAATTGCTGGCGATTTAGTGACATACAAATCCGTTGATTCCATAACAAATCCCGATGATGTAGTAAATTATCCAACGGAGTTTTTGAACTCTCTGGAGTTACCAGGATTAGGAAGACTTATGCCGAATTTGATTGAGGCAACCATTATTAACGGAAAGTACGCAGGTGAAAATATATGTATTCCTCGAATACCAATGATTCCGACTGATCTTCCGTTTGACTTCAAAAAGATTGCAATTTCCAGTTCGCCTTGCGCTCGCAATTACAATTAACAAGTCGCAAGGCCAATCGCTTAGTGTTTGCGGGATAAATTTAGAAAATCATTGTTTTTCACATGGGCAGTTATACGTTGCGTGTTCACGAGTTGGGAAACCATCCAAACTTTGTTTGTGTTAACGTCAGACCAAAAAACAAAAAATGTGGTTTACCAAAGAGCACTTCAATGAAACGGATAATTTGCGGACACGTATAACGCTTCGATTCAGTATTTACTTTGGATTCACTTTCATTTACTTAGAGAAGTTCAACTAAATAACACTTCATTTTTGTAATCGAAATGAATTCATTACTGTTGTGAAATGAAACAAAATTTTTCCTTTTTAAATATAAAACAAAAAAAATATTTTTCTTCTTCTTTTAATCACCAAACGAAATGTTACATAAAACGAAGCCATCTGGTGGCGAAACGGAGTTCGCCGGGTTTGCTTTTAATCACCAAACGAAATGTTACATAAAACGAAGCCATCTGGTGGCGAAACGGAGTTCGCCGGGTTTGCTAGTAATATTTAAAAAACGGTTCTGTGATTTAGGCGTGAAAGCAAAGTAACAAGCAAACAAATTCACTTTCACATTTTTAAGTATGGATAATCTATTTTCTTTAAACAACTATAGCCCGACCAAAAGTTAGACTTATTAAGGGATTTAGCGTTATTTCATACAAAGTTATAACCATGCAAAACTAGAAAACCTTACAGTTCAAAATAGACGAACATTTTCAAAGTACCGAGAGACATATCGTGCACATTCTATAAGTAAATGTATAAAGCGTACCAGGGAAGCATGAAAACAAAGCGTAATAAATATAATACGCCATAAAAATGAAGTAAGACAAATAAATAAATGAAGCCGTAGTAACATGCTAATAGCTGGGGTTGTAATGTTCCGTATTTGTTTTGACTTCTCCTTATTCGCATATTTCACGTTATATCCGCGTCACGATCTATGAGGTAACAAACAGATGACACATCTCAAATGTGACATGTTTATTTCGTTACGAGGGTTAATATGGGGGGAATAAGAATGATTATTGCTTGTCTCAAATTGTACAGTGAGTAATGTATCGTGTATGTACGAGTATGGCTTATTAAATAAGAGTTTTTTTTTGTAATATTAAGGGTTAAACGAGCAGACAGGTCACTTGATGGTAAGTGATTACCACCCTAATTCTAAGGCTCAAAGTGCATTGTCGCCTTTTAAGCCTTAGAATTAGGGTTTGGGAAAATCGGTTACTTTCGTTCGTTTCGCTAAATCGGTTCGGGGGAATTAGTATTATTATAGTATAAAGTAATATGAAATAGTTAGGAAAAATAATCAGAAACGAGCGAGTTTTTCAGTAGACGCGTATGATGGTCTGACATCTGCGACATCATCGAACTGCCAATTCTAGAAAACACGTGCTTAAACCAAAAATTTACTTGACAACAAGCTGTATAGCTTGACAAGGAACCTATGTACGTTATATTTTTTTTTATAAAAAAACATGCTTCCCAGTTTCCTTTTCTGTATGATATAGGAGACAAACGTGCCAAGGTCCTGATAACCAGTCAACCTGATAAAAATCGACTACTCAGGAGACACAGGCACGTTGCCGGCCTTTGAAGAAGGACGCTCTTTTTTTGAAGGTTTGAAGGTTGTATCATTCCGGAAATACCACAGGCGGTATTTTTTTCCACAAATTGAATTTGCGAGTCGAAAATTGTCTTGAAAAACGCATAGTGGTTGAGTGCTAATTTGTCCAAGTGAACGGGGTCAAAAATTAAATTTCTGGTACACTCTTGTTCACAGATCGATATGTACATACGATATGATCGATATGTATCGATACAAATAATGTAGCTGTTATAAATGTTGTATATAAATAAATCATTTAAGTTTTCGATAACGAATTATTCGCAAAACCAACTACAGCAAGCTACGTCACGTAGTTCTGGCAAAAGACGGCAAACGCTGGCAAGAACAATGCTGTGGTACGCCCGATGTCATATTACTGGTGAAATAATGCACTCTTTTATATCACGTCATTTGGCAAGCTGCGATGCAAACTAGACTTTATTTTCATATGCAGTTTAAAGCTCATTATGACACTTGCAAACATTTCAGTTATAAGTCTTTGTTTTGTAAGCGGAAAGTACCCTATAAATTATAGCAATGGTTCATTTTATAATGAACTAGCATTTGCCAGGGCTTCGCCCGCTTGTATGTCGGTTTTCGTGGTAAAAGTAGTCTATGTCCATACCAAATTTCACCTAAATCTAACTTCCATCCTCATGATTTCTGGAATAAAATCTATCCTATGTCCTGGGAAACTATCTCTATACCAAATTTCATCTAAAGTCGGTTCAGCGGTTTAAGCTTAAGGTAACAGTCAGACGGACAAAAAGACAGACAGTCAGACAGACACACTTTCACATTTATAATATTAGAATGGATCAGCAGGGTTATTGCTCTGGTGGTCAGCGGTCCAGTCCGCTAAGCTAGAGGTTGTTGGTTCAGAGAGGCGTGTGTAAGATGTAAATGTTATTATAATCATTATTATTTGCTTTGGTAATTACGTTTTTAAGCCTTTTGTAATCATCATGGTCATCGTAATGTCTGAATTTTAAGTGTAAATAAAAATATATTTAGTCCACAACAGAGTGACATGCTCTATCACGTATTATCCAATTACGGGACACATAGCCCCGACCAGCCTTTTATACTATTTGGAGCTCTGACTTAAATTAGATTTAATCATGATGTATATTCTACAATGTCGACAACGTAATATCGCATACGACGTTAAACTATTGTTACAGAGTACACATGCATGTTGGCATAAATATATTCGTCCTTGCTTATCTCTGTTACGTAACGAAATGACGTATAACTATGTACTGCATGTTACGTATAATTTGCTGAAACTGATGGTTTAAGTTTAATTTTGTATTTTTTAAATTTAATTATTACTTTGAGTGACGGTCGAATATAGGTGGCCTTTTTCTTTTTTTTTTTGACGAGGTGGAAAATCCCCTCATATCTCCTGCTCCTCGGGGACTCAGGAGCCTGGGGTTTGTGGTGATTCCTCTAAAAACCACCCTGACGGCCGGTCTCAGGTGCGAACATAGGGTGTCTAGAGAGCTACCAGAAAGGTTAAAAAATCATTCTTGTGTCATCATTAACCAAGGATTTCCACATGGGTTAAAAATTTGTGCGTCCCACAAATAGTTGTTTTGAGTCAGAGTGCTCTTTGTGTCCGATATTTTGAATATTTTGTAAAGTTCCATCATTCCTAGTTATGCTAAGGTTTTTTAAAAAAAATGGGATTAAGTGAAATACAAACCGAATTCACTAAGTGTTAACCATACTATCTTGAAAGTAATAAATGTTGGTAATCCGTTCAATATTGGTCAAGGTATCGCGTAAATTATATACAATTTTTGTTTTTCTTCAAAAAGACAACTATTGCATTAGGAACATATTTTTGTAAACTTTACAAACTTCTTTGTCTTCCTTGTTACAACGTCCTTCGACTTTAAAGAGATACATGAAACGGACACAAAGAACACCCAGACTCAGAACAACAATTTGTGGATCACACTTTGTGTTGTCCCATGTGGGCTTCGAACCCCAACACTCAGTAGTAAGCGGCGTGGCGACCGCTTAAACTACTACGGAATCCGCGCAGTCTACTTTAATTACATTACTTAAGTAAGTAATTACATTACTTACTTAGCGAACATATAGTCCGATTGACGGTGGCTACAGGCTTATTCCTCCATTTACATAACGGTGGGGGGGGGGGGGGGGATGTCTAATAATATATGACTAAAAAGTAAATAATAAATTCTTAAAGCTAATTTTTAACCACAATTGTTGTGCTTCTTTTCCGATGAAGGAAATAAAGTTTGACGGGTAGCTTTTTCTTTTTCCTTATGATTAAGTTTCGATCGATAAGCAAGGGAAATGTTCTAATGTTCTTGGATAAATTCCTTACATTAAAGGAATTTATGACCTACCTGACCTTATTATTTAACATGACTAATTCAAGACTCTACAGTAAATGAATTCCAAAAACAAAAAATATAACGGAGTATATTAATGTAGTTTTTGAAATCTTTAACATCTCTAAATAACTTGATAATAAGAAAATAAATAGGTTATAAAATAAAAACAACCTTAAAAGCAAATAAATACAATTTTTAACAAGCGAGTGAGTGAGTGATTGATTTTATATGTTAGAAACATATCACTGGTAGGAGAGAAGAGTGTACTATAAAATATCATAAAAAGTACCTCAATTAATTCAGTAATAGCAGTGGGTACAATAGCTGATAGAATTACTCAGAAGCCAACTTATTCCGTGTGGTGACGGATTAAGAATACGGAGTCTCACAACCTCTATTCATTGCCGTAAGAGCCGACTAATTGAGCAAAGTGCGTACTTTGCTCAATTATATGACAACAGCACTGCAAAGATAAGGAAAATTTGAAACAAACCTTATACCAACCTGTCTGGCCAGCGTGGTATATATATACTATAGTTGGCCAAAACCGCCTTTCGAACGAGAGGCCTATGTCCAGCAGTGGACTACTTTAGTAGTCTGGTCATCGACAGTTTAAAGGCTGTTGATGATGACAGCCGCCAAA